ACAAAGGGAACATACTCAGATCACAGCACTAACTTTCAGTTCAGTTGCAACACTCCGCTCCGACTCCCAAGCCACGACCTGTCGATCCTTAGAGCACCACCCTGAGCACATCCACCCAACAAAGCAAAATGGCAGCAAGGTACTCAAACTGCATGCACAGAGTCGTCATCGGCCATGATGCCTGGCATCAAGTGCCTGTGCACGTGCGCGTGCACAACTTGGAACATCCGTTCCGCTGTTGCCTCGGATTAGGGAACTGCCACATGATCTACAGCATTATTGCACTCCTCAAATCATGAGATATGCTATTCTATACCCGTCTCGCTGCACTGACGTGGAGCCGGAAGGGCTCGAAAAGATGCTTGATCCCGTGCTCATCGGGATCGGAGAGAAAAGCCATGGTATGGCCACGGGAAGCCCTTTACACCTAGAGGCTTCGACAAAAAAAGCTGCCACAGGATTGCCTCTAATCAGCACTCAACATCTGCATCACTCCAGAGCAACAAGACATCAACGCAGCAAGCAAGCAAACCTGTGCAGCATGACTCTGGCCGAGGGGGGGAAGCACCTCCGGATCCTCTGAGATGCTTTCGCACAGCTGCTCGGAGCAGCCCCATGTGTTCAAAAGCGAGACAAAAACTACGTTGGTGTTTCATCATGAACGACAGAATCAGCATCAGTGCTTTAAAACAGACCCCGTTGTGCACTTTGAACTACAGCACGTCTCGCGGTCTTGAGATCAGGGAGCCGGCACACCAGCACTTCTCCTGCACGTACACGGGAACCTAGGACCCCATGTCTCTCTATTTAAGGACATTCCAGTGTACTCCTGAGCAGAGACACGGACCCACAGGGTAAATGCATGTTCCCAAAATGCTATCTTCCTACATGCCCCGTGTTCTTTCTGGTGCACCGACATGTGCACCCAAACAAACAACCCCGACAGCCCACTTGCATTGAACTCAAGAACTCCGTCTACAGCATTCCTAAATGCTAAACATCGCTAAACTCTACACGGTGTAGTTTCTGGCTACATCCTCAGTAACAAACTTTTCCTGAACTCGAATCTTGCCTCAAGCTCCAACAGCACCATAACATCCGACCACGCCCTGTAGCTTAAACAACTGCTCAGATCTCAGGCATTCCGCTTTACTGACTTGTCTATGATTAGAGTCCTCTTTAAGGGCATGTCGAGCTTTGCGTATGCCAAGGTGTCCTAAGTACCGATACAGGAGAAGATAGGGTCTCTGCAGTAGGAGCTACTATTTTCGTGGGCAAGTCTCCACCCTACAAATATTTAGGACCCTTGGCGAATGCTCTGCTTAGTATCATAACCGCATCTAGGGGCCCTTTGAAGGTTCTCATAAGCCAAGTTATGAGCTACTTACCAACTCCCCCGACCCTCCAAGACCCCTTAAAGAACCCTTCTAGATCCCTTCAAACAAAACCCCTATAGAACCCCTATAGATCCCTTAAAGGGTTCTAGTAAGTCCCTTACAGACCCCGTTTTCAGGAACCCTGCTCTAATCACTAAGGCCCCTCAAAAAATAGGCATCCATGGCCGTCGAGTCGCACCAGAGACTCGACGTGATCTCCCGGGGCGTCGTGGGGCAAACTCAGGAGACGTGCCTCACTCGGCGGAACGACGGTTTAGGGGTTTAGTGATTAAGGGTTTAGGGGTTCAGGGGTTGGGGGGTTTAGGGTTTAGGGGTTTAGGGTTTAGTGTTTAGGTGTTCGGGGTTTAGGGGCTTAGTGCCTCGTTCAGCGGGATGACGGTTAAAGCGACGGTTATGATATGAACCCTGGGGTTCCTTTAAAGGGATCCTTTAAGGGTGCTTTTACGGGGCTCCTTTACGGGATCTGTAGGGTTTTAGGGTTAAGGGTTTAGGGATATAAATCCTGCAGTACCCATTTTAAGGAATATACCCCAAAATATACCATATCTCCCATAGTCTAGGGTCATTCGGGTAATGCAGGATTTGTATCGTCGACCGTAGTTTAAGCCAAGGTTGTTGGGCAAAGGTCCTGGGCTTACGGGTATTGGCTGTTTTCTTCCCTCTCACATTGCTTGGAAGTCGATGCCCGCTCGCGAGGTCTGACATTGAGATACTAGGGGTGGGGTTTCAGGCTTGGGGCTTGGAGTTTGGGCAGACATAATTTTTTCATAAACAAAAATTGTTGTCTTTTCTTGGGGGGGGGGCTTGGGTTGAGGGTTTATCGGGTCCAGGCCGGATCTGACAGTTGTAGTGGAGCTGGAACCCAACTCACGCCCTTTGGCCCGATCACCCAAGAGCAATGCAACGGCGCCAAATGCAACGGTCGGAAGTGTTACAGTAGCAGTACTAGCAATTTATAGTCTGTATTTAAACGAACAGTATAGGCTATAACTTACCCTTTTCACCCTGCTCTTTTTACTACACAGTCTTCATGGTACCTGTAGTGCTAAGGCTTGCCAGGCCAATTCCAAGAGGCAATGGACGTGTTGAAGCAACCCAGCACAAGAGATTCAAACAACAGCCTGCAATGGAACGTTAGCCCCATGCAATGTAGATTGACGACCGACTCCATCTACGAAAAAGGGGCATGAAACGAACTACTAATCTACTTGGGATGCGTGAGCCCAGCGATGTACATGGATGGCACGGTCAAGTGTCGCGCTGCCATTCCGCATTTAAGGCCCGGACTATCACAGTGGGTGAGTTTATGACAACCCTAAACCCTAAACCCTGGGGCTCCAAAGTTCCGAAGCATCATTGCATCTTATAGGTTGGTCCGGACTCTGACCCCCCGACTACCCTCTAATATACCCCACATACTCACTACTAAGGACCATAAGGGCTCAATCGAAGGGTTTAGGGCCTAGGGTTGCCTATATAGAAACTACTTTCAGGCCAAAGTATACACGATTTAAGTCACTATTTGGGCCCATGGACCCTTAGGGAATCACTATCAAGGACCAATCGGGCTCTATTAAAGGGCCCTTGGGGGGGTCCGGTCTCTGACCCGACCCAAAACACTCGGAGGGCTCATATGAGAGTTTCCGAAAATAGGGGACCCTAATATAGCACCGTAAATAGTAGGATCCTTATTATAAGGACCCCCAAAATAAGGTACCCCTATTTTCGGAGACTCTAAACCCTTATAGAGCCCTTTAAAGGAACCCTTATAGTACCCTTCTAGTAACCTTAAAATAAGGTACCCCCATTTTTCGGAAACTCCCATATCTGCTACCCAGAGGCTCCATAGTAGTTCCTTTTTGGGATTACCTTATAGGATTCTATGAGCCCCCAAAAGGAACTACTTTGGAGCCTTAAGGTATATACCGAGCTTAGATCCATAATAAATATAACCTACTCTCTTGGGTTTGAAGTAACAAAAATCAAAAACAATTCTTAAGGAGACCATCGGAAGCCCTTTCTTTGAAGCTTTGCAAGCCCGAAGATCCTAAGAAACACTCGCCGGAAAAGTCTTAAGCTCCAACTGAAGAACCTGAGACGCTCTCCTCCCTCGCAGAGAGTCCAAGATCCCCAGAAGTCTAAGCACTCGGGATTAGGGTTTAGGGTTTTAGGGGTTTAGGGTTTAGGGTTTGTAAGGAGCCGCTTAGGGTTTCGGCGCTCACACTCGGACAATCCAGGCGAGGCATGTGGTTCGGAGTCTGACGAGTGAAACTTCGCTAGGAGGAATCGTCATGGCCGCTTAGGGTTTAGGGTTTAGGGTTCCGTAGAGCCGTAGAGTTCTAGCGAAACTCGTTAATCAGAGGGTCTTGGCTCTCTGTTCTTTCCGCCAGACATGCCACCAAGATGCTACAATTGGCGGTGTAGCCCGGTCCGACACCCCCATGCCCAGAGATCACCTGTTGCTTTCGCTCCAAAGGAGGGCTTGAGGTCTAGAGTTCGGGGTGGTGTTAGGGCCTGCTGTAGTGTGTAAGCTTACAGAATGCATTCCCCCCCCAAACTGTTCAGTCTCGAAACAACGCATCCCGGTCACACACCACACCACCTCCATCCAAAACGGCTGAGATGCTGAAGAAGAAACCGGCCAGCCGTAAAGGTTCAGATGCAACCTATACTGTGCAGTACAGCCCACATGAAGCAGGGGCCTTCATGCGCTCCGGAAGGAAGGTGTCCCGCGCCAATCACTGTGCACGGCAGACTGCAGAATGCCGAAGCCCACTCTGCGTCATGGGCCCTCCCTTTCGGCTACGATCGTCACCGCTGCATATAGTGTTCAGCTCTGCAGGAACATGGTGTACTGATATGTGAGGCCTCCGATGTTGTTGTCATGGTGTAAGCCACGAAGATTTGGGAACAGCTATAATATCTGTAGAACATGCAGCCTAAGCACAGGTGGGTCTTTCAGTTGCTGCCTGTGTGTGCGGGGCTCTCAGAGTAATGCTGCCTTGCTAAAGGTCTGATCTAAGGACCTGTATGTTCTGAAACTGCCATGTCTGGCAAGTGTGGTCACGTCAGGGTCACACCTGGCCTGAGAAGACGGGCTACCCTGAACGCCAAACAATAACGGTCTACCTTCTTATGAACTCAATGCTTGCTGTACCACTTCCGGGCTGCGGAAACTTGTCGAAGACAGCAGGGTATTAATCAGTAACGTGTTGGGCACACAGTGAACGACGTTAATGAAGTACCAATACCAGCCCCGCACATGACAGCCCCGATCGCACACAGTGTCTTACATGTGTTCGTTGAACTCGTCGAACTTTCCTGAATGCACGACTTTCGCGCTGCCCGAGACTCCTGCTACTTCTGGAAACCAAAACCAAGAACGGCCTTGAGTCAAACAACAAGATGTGGTCGGAACTGGACTCGTCCGGTCTCTACTTCACGCAGAATGCAGCATGACACTGCTCGATGGGCTTTACCGCACAGAGATTGTGCAAACATGGAGGAGGGCTAGAATTCGACGAGGTGGGCGGCATTGAATGCTGCAGGCCAGGACTTTCGAGATTGTGAACTTTACACAGGATTTTTCTCAAACAAGGCAAGTCATAAACATGACGATAAAGTAGTCAAGCAAGTCCGCAAAGCAGCGCATATTTCTAGTACGCAAGCGCCACTGATGTTGGATCCAGCCAGCGTCCAAAGTCGGTGGCACCAGTGGTCTTCTCGATACCTCTGGGCATATCCTCTGCAATAGCCAATCGTTGCTAAGTACATACATCGTAGGAAGTAGGATGACACATCATTGATTTCTGCATAGTTAACCGCCACAAAGCTACCTAGGATCCGTCGGAAAAGTGCGCACACTCGAAATTTACAATATTTCACCAAACCCCTTACATATGTATATCATATATGTGTATACAACTTAAAAAGGTAATCTCCCCATATAGAACCCATGTATCTACCGAGGATCCTTTGGAAGACGGGGGCCAGAAAAGGAGCTTGCGACTGTGCATGTCCGTGCCAAATTTGGGGCTTGGCGCTGAGGGCTTTGGGGCTTAAGGGTTCAGGGCTTGGGTTTTGGGGATTTTGGGGTTTAAGACTTTAGGATTTGGGAGTTTAGGGGTTTTAGGAGTTCAGGGCTTTGGGGTTTTAGGGTTCAGGGCCGGTTTAGGGTTGTGTTTAGGGCGTAGGGTGAGGTTCATGGGTGCCTTACTACCGGGGCCGTGGGTCGATTCTACGACACCCCTTAGTTTGGCAACCTGCATGGAAGGGCTCATGAACCTTCCGAGCCATCAAGAGCGTTGTACCGTGTCAGTGTCAGTTTTGTCTAGCAGTTCAACGACAAGTAGACATCCCGTTTAAGGCTTCCTTCAGAACAAGGAAAGCGCTCGCCGGGTCTATATTCTGCGTAGCGCCTTAACATAGCGCCTTACAGCCTATGGAGTCTGCAATTTGCACAGCAACCCCACAAGACTGCCCGAACCAGACGGCCCCAAACCAGAGCCCGAGCCAGGCCACGCCATTGCCTGCCGATGTTGCTCATCCGCGTGCCTTCTTTCCGGCCTGTCCGTGTCGCGCACACATCAATGCAAGCCGCAGTATAAGCGTCGAGGTGTCAGGATGCGTATAGCAGCTGTAGTAGTCGTCGTCGTAGCAGTAGTAGCAGCAGCAGTGGCACCAGTAGTATGCGGGGAACGACGGGGAGGAGGAGGAGAACGGAGACAAGCAGGCGGAGGACTGGGAGAAGGATGAGCAAGAGTAAAAGTCAGCAATATACTCACAGGACAGAAACAACAGCACTGACAGCATCCTTCCTTCGTGACCCAACAGGCCTTGTCGCCGCCACCCCCTTCGCGCTTCTGCCCCGGGCCCGCAGCCTAACCGCGCTTGGAGTTCATGTCTGGAGCTCTGGGCATTGTAGGGTTGCAGTAGGGTTTAGGTTTTGCCGCTGGAGGCTTCTGCTGTCTGCCGAAGACTTATGTTCACTTGCCCTTACACTTAGTCTACCTTCAAAGACGACGCTGTAAAGCAGGAAAAGCCCGTAAAGCGTTGTTACGAGCTTCAGGTCTGAGCCCTTATAATACCGTATGATGAATGCCAGACACTCCCCTCATCCTTGCGTAAACCTTAACCCTAAATTCCTGAACCCTGAATCCCTACACCAGCCTAAACCCTCTTCCCTGCCTGCCCTCCACGACCGCGGCCGCGGCCCTCGCCTGCTACACCCGGATGACGGCCCTAGAAGTTGGGGCCTTTAACGAGTCAAACCCTAGGGCAATAAAGGTCTCGGGAGAGAGCTAGGATTTAGCGTTTCGACACGCGCACTCGCTGACGCACGCACGGCTTCAGGGGTCCCATTGCTACCGTTATATATACTAGGATTTAGCGTTTAGGGCTTAAGCAATCTACCTATAACACTTGGGTACTTGGTTGAGAGGAATAGTAGTGGGTTCTTTTGGGACTCGAGGGGCTTATAATGGCGATCAGGGACTTGGACCCTTTGGGAAAAGGTCCTACGTACCGACGTGGAAGTTTCTTAAGAATAGGGGTACCTTACCTCTAGGTCGGTTTATATTTTTCAGAGCTGAGGTATTGGCGGTATTGGTTTTCGGCGTATACAAATGTGCTTGCTGAGAACATCGTCCGCTACTGATTCTGTTATTACCTTGTGTTCGCTGTGTTGAATGCGAAACCCCAAACCCAACCTTAAAACCCTAAACCCAAACTCCCAGCCACTAAACCGACTTACAAGAATCCCACGAAGAACTCCGCGAACTGTCGATGACATCTTCTGGCGCCGAAAAAAAGGCAGCAGTGGTTCCGTATTCAGGAGCCTTACATCAAAAGTACATAATCTTATGATTTCGAGTTCTATATTGTGGTCACTTGGGTTGTGGAACTACCTTAAAGCTGGGTTCCTGAGTGGCCCTTTAATAATAACGATACCATTTCTCCCACTATTTGGTTTGTTTGTCAAACGGGTACTACTCAGGAACCTAGTAGACCCTAAACCCCCTTAGATCCCTTATGGAACCCTTTGAGGAGCCCTTTAAGGAACCCTGATGGGGAACCCCATTAAGGGGAACCAACAGTCGTCCCTGTCAACTGCAAGCCTTTGCCGCCACGTCCGCCACGACCACGAGCCTTGAACTGCTGACGGATCTCCTGTGGTAAACCGCGGCTTCGGCCTTTTCGGGTTTAGGGTTTAGGGGTTTAGGGTTTAGGGTTTAGGGGTTTGAAGGGTTAAGGGTTTAGGGTATAGGGCTTGTAGGCGTTAAGGGGAGGCTTCAAGGCATAGCCGTGGTGGACTCGGTTTAGGATGTAATGCAGAAGCCTGATTAAGAAACCTTGGGCCTTTAGTCGGGTTCTTTATATGAATCCTACTATATTTGGGGGGTTATAGGACCAGGGTTTCTTAATCAGGTTCCGACATTAGGCTTCGGGTTTGGGGCTTAGTGATGCAGAGTGCTTTATTCCCCTCCTACCTAGCAAGGACGAGCCCGCATTGCAAGGTACATTGGTCGGACAGCTGAAAACGGCCACAGTTTCACAGCCAAATTAGGTTGCAGGGTATAGGGCCTATGGTGGTCGAGTATCTCGGAGAACTGAAGGTTAACCTTCGGGACGATATGGGGATTACAAAGATTGGCGGTTCCCTACTCTACTACTATGCTTGCTGCTGCATGTTAGAAGCTTTCAAGTCCGCACCTTTGGAGTTGGGAGTTTAGGGCTGATACCAAGGAGGGCAGAAGGTTTAACATCTCTCGGGTCTATAATATTAAGATGTCTGCCAATCCTAGGGCTGGGAGGTCCTTGCGGGACTGCGGCTCATCCTTCACCATATCGATGACCTGTCGGACACATGGTGGGGACAGTTGCAGGTGCTCGAAAGACACAAGTAACGGTACCGGCATACCGCAGCTGCTGCTGTTGATCACTGGGCCACATGCAGGCATAAACGAAGAGACTTTTGTCTCTCTCTCTCTCTCTCTCTCTGCTTCTCGTCCTCGCTGTGTGTATGCCTCTCCGTACAGACACACGCACACAGTGAGTTAGACCCGCGTGTATGAATGTACACCTACACGCAAGCATACACACACCTACGCACATGCATTGTGTGTTAGTTGTTTGTATGTGTGTGTGTATGTACAAATGCATGTAAGCATGTGGTTGTAGTTGTACGTAGCTATGTCTTGTTTTGTGTATGAACAAACACATACACACAGCCAAACACACGCACATAAATACATGCATGCAAGCATGCATACACACACACACACCGTCTTACGTACATACATGCACACATACATCTATATTCATATCTGTATAAACATATGTATATAATATAGATCTATACTTACAGCCCTACATACACACACGTACATACGCACATGCATACATGCATGCACCTACATAAACATATACAGTACCGTTCGCACATACATACATGCATGCATGCATGCATACGTGAATAAATAAATTAAGAACCAATTACTAAACAAATGCATAAAGCATTAGACGTGTATACAAACAACAACAAATATACACGATTGCATACATGTATCATCCAAATTCAGTTTTGTTTGTTCGAGTCTGTACGCAGTGCGCAAGCCGTGCTCGCAGTGGCCTCGTCCGGCAAGCGTAGGTACTTAATGCTGTTGCCACGAACATAGCATTCCTCGGGATGCACGCCGCGTAGACCGAAACTGGCCGCATAGCATGTTGAGATGAAAATCGCGAAAAGCTCCGAGCCAGGAATGCTCTACTTCTCGTGCACTCTAAAGGTATTCAGACTGCTGATTCCATGAGCCGAAAAGTGATAAGCTGGAAACTTCTAGCTGTGCAAGCCTCGGGTTCAGGATTTGGGCATGGGCAATTAACCCCAAACCCGGAGCCTTAACCCTAAACCAAGGAGTTCCTTACCGTTTGCTTTCATAGGTATTCGTTGAATGTGAGGGGTGTAGAAAGACCTTACAGAAGTGCTATAGGGGTTTCGCGTGTGGCATGTTGCGATTATTCTGTCATCGCTTCCCGGTTCCTATGCGCAGGCTACGAAAGCTCAGCTGCTAAGCTTTGCATCCGCAAATCGATTATTAGTAGAACAACAAACCTCCACATGTATACAACTATCCTTTCTGGCCGTGACAATGTTCGAGGGCTTGCACTCTCACAACTCAGACAAGCCAGGCGAGGATCCATAGGTGTGAGTCGGTGACACTTGTTGCGAGGGTTTGCGGGTAAAAGAACGGGCTTGGGGTTCATGAGCGCTTGTGGATTCAAGGTTTCGTGCTTGCGGCGAAGTGGCGAGTCTTCATGGGTGTTTTAAGCTTTAATTCAAAGTCATTGGCCCTTATCTATCCCTTAGACGCGTGTATAAATCCTAAACCCTGAGCACTCCCTGAACCCTCAACTTTGCAACTTATGCTCCCAAGCGAGTCTTAGCCAAAGGTGCCGGGATCTTCCAAAAGCGCTCACCGTCGCGGGAAGTGCACACGATATCGCGCATGTGCCTGGGATTTGGCGGTTTACGGACCTTTAGGGTTTAGTGGGGTTCGGGGGCTTCAATGAATCTGAACCAGCTTCTTACATGAACCTGGCGATGTAACCCAAAACCTTATTGTTCATGCACATATGCCTACATCAACAGACACACACATGTATCTATATATATATATATAAGACAAACATACACAGATACATGTACATACATGTATACACATATACACATGCATACATACATATCTATGCTCCTTGAGTTGCATGTTTGTGTGTATGTCTGCTCGATCATTCGTCGTCGAGTTTGTGCAGGCATGCATGCGTAACATCGAATCTCAGTCGCAGGGTTCCGCGCTTAGCGTGAGGGTGATGGCTTCAGGGCACGACAAGCTTCACCACGTCTGACGGTATGGGCCTCAAGCAATAAAACTCAAGCATGCAAGCTGAATGTGGGCTCCTGAACCCAAGCGTTGAATTGGTCAGATAAGGTTCAGGAAGTATATGTAGGCTGACCGAGACCGGAAATCTAAAACGTCAGACCACCCCGAGCCCCAATTCACGCCATCTATGCCCTGGGGCAGGTTCATGAAGCCATCGCAGGAGGCGAGCACGCCACTGTAGGTCTCTCCGTTCTTGAGCTCCACCATCCTCCGGGGGGCTTTTTCGGGTTTAGGGCTTTAGCGTTTAGGGGTTTCGGGTTTAGGGGTTTAGGGTTTATAGTAAGTAAGCCCCAAAAAGTTGAAAACCGGAGTAAGGACAATTTGTGCTGGGATCCCCTATCTATGACTCTTAAGGAGTGAGGCTATTCGGTTTCCAACTTTTGGGCTTCTACTGTAGCTTCTGATTGCTCAGCTCCAGGCTACCGACCGACTTCACAGATGATCACCACTAGGCCGTCACTAGGCATTGATGCATGTGGGGCTTCGCTGTTGGGGCGTTGAAGGATGTGTTGGTGAACGGAGAGCTCTTCCGATACACCGGAAGATTTGGAGCACACTCTTGGTGCTGGGACTGCGGCATGTTGTTTATCCGTGCTCTTCCTCGCTTGGTCCCTTGCATGGCGACATCGTGACATAATCTGCCTCTACCGTGCCAGACTGTGCTTCCAGTAGTAGCATTGGCTCTCTGCATCCCCTCTTTGCCCAAGAAGTTGCTTAGGCTTGAAAAAATGCCTTACAACCTTAAACGATACGACATGCTCGCTGGGAGGTCTACAGGCACACACACACACACACTGTGCACATGAGAGCGTGTGATTGCATGCCAAGGGGCATAGGCTGATTCTGTGCCGTGCGGAGCAAAGCCATCGGAAGCACCATGGTGATGTAGAGCTTCTGCCGACGGCGGAAGGAGCCTGCCTAATGTACCGGAGAGCTCTGGCGAGCTCGAAGGGGGCGTTCTCAGCTCGGCAATCCGGCTTTGTCTTGAGCCAAATGCGGCGAGTTCGACGGCGTGCGCCAAGCACCGACGGATTGGACACATCAAAACCTCAACACAGCCCACCGCAGCCTCAAAGCGAAAACACTTCATGAATCACGGCATCTGCGTTTGTTGGCAAGCTCCGAGAAGTTCGAACCCCGCCAGAACACTGAGCAACAACCTGCCAGAACAAAACCTGAGCCTCCTATGCAAGCCGAAAAACCCCATCACAGCTTCCAGACTCTTGAGTCACAAAGCGGAGTATGTTTACCAGTGCATACAACGCGAATATCCCTGCCTTGTGTGCCGATTGCTGCCGTGAAGAGTGTAGCATCCTGGGCATATTCAAACGCCACACCCTAAGGTCTCTAACCAAAATCCTAAACCTCAATCCTTAATCGCTTGGAGTTTCGTCGGTTGCCGGGATTGCCTGCATATACATGATGTACACAAGATTTTTGAAGGTAGAGTAGTATGATGCTGTATGTATGCAGGTATGCACGTATGTGCTTGCGATCGTACTGTATATGTCATTGTCTTTGCTGTCATCATGTATGTATGTATGTCCCTTTTTGCAACAGGCTTTCCGTTTCGCATGTATGTCCCTAAAAACCTTAAACCTGTTCTTTTCGTGAACCCCTTTTCCTTAACACTGCTTACGTTTATACGGGTTGTATTTAGGATTCTGATCCTGCTAGTCTGACGTGCGCAGGGACGACGTATCTGGCAGAGTAGTATACTACATTGTCCAAAGCTTAGGGCTTATGAGGACCCCCCCAAGGCTCCAAGGACCCTTTAATAGAGTCCTTATGGCAATTAATCGTGGATTTTTGGGCTTTATTAGAGAGTACTCGGCGGGTCTAGGTACAAGGACAGGAATCTAAGTCAACGGTTCCTGCCAAACTTCCTGACAGGGCACGTTCCCTGAGCCCTAAGCAATAGATTCAAAATACCCGACAAAAGCGAATCCAGTCGAAGGACTGCTCAAGTCTTTGCAGTCCTTGACTGCAACCCACGAAGTTCAACTGTGTTGTTGTCCACCGAAACTTCGAATCTTGAGGAACTTCAAAAGCGCTTAGAATCCTGCAAAACCCTGGAATCTGCCCTTTGTCGGCTGACTGCCCACCCAGGAGCCTACACAAAGACCAGATCCTCGAGCCCTGATACCCCTTAACCTGGGCTTTTAAGTAAGAAAAATGAACGTTTGTTTCATAATAGTTCCTTTAAGAACAAAAGTGGGTACTCCTGGACGCACAGTCACAGTATGTCACAGTCCTGAAAGCACCATGCCCTATAAATCCTAAACTCCACAAATGGGCAATGAAACGCCTTAGTTATAATACACTTCTCAAGCGCCCATTTCAAGGTTTCAAGGAACCCCCAAAGTCAAATGGGTAGTTGTCAAAATTAAGGTCCCGTTTTGGGAACCCTAAATAATAGGTGCCGTACTAAAATCGGGACCCAAAAAGGGACCTCAATTTTGACAACCACCCATATAATCCCCCAATAATAGTATAGTAGTCCCTTATAAGGGTCCCTTATAGTTGACAACTACCCAAATCAACGCCGAGGCTCCGCGGCCCCAGCCTTACATGCCGCTTGCAAGAGGACCAGGGCAGAGTCCCATGTGCCCTGGCGCAGTTTGCTTAAAGCGTCCTGGGACTTAGTAACTAGGGTTCTACTGTAGGGTTCTATAAGGGTTCCTTTAAAGGGATCTATAAGGGATCTATAGAGGGTTTAGGGCTCATAGGGTTTAGGGGAATACTTAAAGGGCCATGGGACTTAGTAAGTAGGGTTATAATCCAGGTAACTATACTTATAATTACTTATAACCCCAATTAAAGTACGTACTTATAACCCTACTTACTAAGGCCCATGATCCTCCAAGTGGGGTTTAGGGGTTTGGCTTAGGATTTAGGGCTTAAGGTTTCGGCGCGCACACTCGGACAATCTAGGCGAGGCATGCGGTTCGAGGTCTGATGAGTGAAACGATCTAGTGGGAATGGTTCAGAATACACCTTCATCTAGTGCTTGAGGTTTAGGGTTCAAAGGTTAGGGGCTGTGGCCCTTCAAACGATTTGTATGTTGAAAAAGATGTCGAAAAGGGATTTTTGTAGGGGCTTCCGAGCGCCCCGGATTGATGCCGCTTGAGCTCGGAGAATCACCTGGAGGCGGCAGCCTCAGGCGCTTTGCTTTCTTAGTTCATCTCACCCTGAGCATCGCACGCAAGAACTCTAAACTCTAAACTAAGCTTTCAATGAAACTTGCAAAACACAACCTTGCAACATGCTTAATATAGGAGCCTTGATAAGTAGAATAGGGTTTGGGGCCCAGTATACTTATGTTTATAAGGACCCCTCCCAAAAAACAGTACTGCAAATATTTATGCCCCTAGAGTCCCGGAGACTCCCAGGCTTAAAAACCCAAGAGCTCTAAACCGCATTCATTCCCGCACTTAAAGGGTCATGGGACTAATTAAGCTAACTATACTTATAAGTACTTATATCCCCAATTAAAGTACTTATAACCCTACTTACTAAGTCCCATGATCCTCCAAGCGGGCCTCCGCCCAATCGGCGAGAAGCGCACTGAAGCTGATCGCATCTGGAGTTCGACGTTGCTGCGGCCTTGGAAAACTCGTGGGCCAGCATCTCGCAGTGCAGAAGCTTATTAAGGCCCCTATATTACACCCCCATCATACCATTTATAGTAACCTTAATGGGGCCTTTTTAAGAACCCTTTACAGGAACCCTATAAGCAAAGATTCGAGACTTGGAGGGCTCGGTCTAAAGCCAACGATTCAGGTTCGAGGCTTCAAGGCCGCTCTGAACAACAGGGCGCAGGGATCGCAAGACATCCGCATTTAGAGAAGATCGCCGAAGAATGTGTGTGTGTGTGTGCCCATATAACATACTTGTGCGCATAGATGTACGTACATAGATACACGTCGATAAACATGCACATGCACAGATGTATATGTGTGCGCACTCACACACACACACACACGCTGTTTCGCTGTTTCATGGCGTTGTGTCTGAGTTAGACGCAGCCGGTTTCGGTTGCACTTAATTTAAGGGGTGAAAGCCCCGGGAGTGCACAAACTGATGTCAAAGTTCGCAAAAAACTCGCAGTCGGACATGTGCCAACAGAAGGGCGCTAGTTTGCGAACGACCTCTACCGCATTGCAGGAGATCTTTGGGATGGCAATGCCAGCAGGCACTCCAAACCTCCACATCAGAAAGACACCCCGGACAAGGTCGGAGAAAAGTCTCAAACGACACAAAGAGGGCTCGATGCTCTTGAAAGACTTGATGGGGCTCGGTACCTGAAGAGTGGAGACAAGTCCAACACAGGAACAGAAGAGGAAATCAGTCCCCCCCTGGAGGAGTTGCCAACGCTCAAACTCAAGCAGGGCAGGCTCTTGAATGCATGATTCGTGTGAGAGCTCCCTATCAAATCCACTGGGCGCCCAAGTGTGTTGTTTGGGACATGCCGCAATGCGCACACCTGGCCGTAGAACGCGCTGAGGCACCTCAAACTGGACAGCGTCTAACTCCAGCCAAGGTAACAGCAGTTCGGCATCCCTGAAAGTCGAAGTAGCCTGGACCGCAGCAGATCCTTCAACTCCTAACCAAGCGACGAAGTCAACCTGGGGAAGAATGCGAGCGAGCCTTCTGTGCAGAGAGGCCCACTGAATTGAAATGGATTCATCAGCTGCGAGGGCCTCCTCGACCTGATTGGCCCACTGAGTAGCAGTGGCTCTGAGCCTGGTTTGCTGCAGACAAACCTGTGAGAAAATCTGCCGAACATGCTCAAGCAAGCCATGCCAGCTGGTGTGCTGCAGCTCATCATGACAGAAGCAATCCTCAAGTGCAGCGAGAATGCTCAAGTCAGGCTGGTATGCTTCGTCGATGGCAGGTGTGTAATCCCACAGGAACTCGGGCCCACACGCACGCACTGCAGGAAGCAAAACTTTGCTACCATCCTTGAACCTTTTGCTGCCAGTGCCAGGCTCAGGCTCAAAATGAACTCCCGCATTCATCAAGGCGTGACGGCAACTAGAGCTATGTTCAAGATGGTTACAGAGGGCTTTGTTCGACCTGAACTGCTTAATGCAAACAATGCACTGTGAGCCTGCTGCCAAAAAACGTACAGGATTACGTCGGCCATGCCTCTTAAATGCATGATGTGACCAAGCGCGCAGGTCAGGAAAAACAGTTTGGCAAATTGCACAAATTTCATCTGTAGTCCCAAAATCTGCAAGCTCAGAGGGCACAGTTGCTCCTGCACTGACAAAGCTCCGGTACGCTAGGCCGTGAAATTGGCGAACTTCAGCTTGCCAGAGTTCCTGCAGCATCGCAGTGCTGCATGCCTTGTTGACAGCTGCTTTCCAGCGGTTGGGGAAGGCTTTGATGAAGGCTACGACTCCCTCCCAAGATCCCCATTGTGGTAGACACGATTGCGAGACCGCATGCTGGCCCCTGAACCATTGGAGGGACTCTTGCACATCTTGAAGCCAGGTGACTTCGTAATGCAACAGAGCCCACAGTTCATCAGAAGCTTTGATCACCGTCGCCTTCAAGTGGCGTAACCGCTCTGTATGCAACGATGTGAGGGCAGTGGGGATCCTGGCATGTGCAAGCACATACAGATGTCCAAGATGACAGGCTTCCTCGAAATTGAAGCGGGGGCGCAGCATGCCTCTGGCCATGCTGACTAGGCAGTGCTGGATCCTGCCAATGCCACTCGGAGGAATTCCGGACCAGGTTCCACTACCATAGTAGAGTGTCGATGCAACGAGGCTGCTAAACAACACAGCTTTCTCCTTCGGGTGCACCACAGGTGAATGAAAAATCTTTTTGCGGTGCTTGGCAAAGGCAGCCCAGGCTGAACCTATCCGCGCTTTCAGCTCGGCTTTAAGGTTGCCGCCCGCATGGACGATGCCGCCTAAATGTTTGTACGAGGCAACTAATCGTAGGCGGGCATCAGGCCATAGCTGCGACTCAAGCGCGAGGGTGGGACAATCTCCTCTGAAGAGTTCAGACCCGATGGTCTTGGTGCCTGCCCCATGAAAGCTGACAATTGCTTCGGTCTTGCCGGCTCGCAAGTTGGGTAAGAGAATTGCCTGCAGACATTGGTCGACGGTTGTTGTGGCGGCGATTTTCAATTTCTCAATCAGGCTGGCTGGGCTTTTGGCCTGAATGAGCACAGACAGGTCGTCCATCCATGTGACGTCGACTGGTGACGCAGTTCCGGCATCGTCTATGCCAACTGCTTCACTAGAGCACAACCACTGGGGCTTCCAGGGGATCTGAACCTGAATGTCTGCTTGTTGGAAGGCTGCCCGTATGCGGTGGGACACCTCGGCGAAAAGGAAAGTGAAAACAATGTCTGCCAGGCTGTCGCCCGGACGCGTTCCACCCCTAACAGCAGCAATGTCAGGAGAAGCCCCGAGCGTGAACCAAGCATCAGTCTGGAACTCACGCATCATGCTTGCGGTCCAAGACGACGCACCTGCTTCCTCAATAAGGGAGCGTTCCTTGACATATGCGTGCAATCTGTGGACAGACTCTGGTTGCAGGCCAAGCTCCTTAACCAATCCCGCAACGTGGTGGTCATTCAACGGGCCCCCGTGCACAAGTGGGTGCACGACCCGATGAAATGCTTCGCGCAGATCAACAAACAGGAGCGCGCTCGAAAGCTTCTTTCTGGCACAGGCACTCAAGAAGCAACGCACTGCGTGCGTGGCGATTTGAACAGGCTGTCCTTTGCGACCTCCGACTTGCATGGTGGTGCATGCAGTGTCTAACAGTGGCGCGCACTTGCCCCTGAAGACACTGTGAATAGCCTTTCCTGTTGAGCTACTCACAAGGATGGCACGATAGCTGCTGCATGAGGTCTGACTGCCCTTGCCTTTCCACAGAGAGTGTAATGACCCCCCCTTCCACGCTAAGGGTTCTTGCAAGCGCATTGCAACCTTCAAGAAGATCTTATAGATCTCTTTGGAAAGGCCAGATGCCTGAAGGTGAAGGACGTCAGGAGGCACCCCATCATTTCCGATGGCCCGATCACTCTTTGAAGAGCGAAGCCCTTTCTCAACGTCGAGCAGGGACGGAACGTCCCTCTGCATCAGCTGCAGACATTCAAGATCATGCCCAGCTTGGCGATCTAGGCAGGCTCTGATGTGATCGGCAACCTGCACTGGGCCACCGTCCTCTATCTCACTAAAGTGCCGTAACCACCTCTGATCTGCTGAGACCCTGTCTGGTGCGATCGTGCCATCTTCGAGTTCAATCATGGGCAACGCCTGCGTGCCACGACTTTTCCGTCTGGGGGGACCAAGAAGAGGCCTCAGCTTTGTCACAGTGTCCTTGACTGTGGAAGCACGACCGGCACGAAAAGGACATGCTGGACGGAGCTGTCCGTAGTGGAATGTGTGGGCCGGAACTCACCGGGATCGTCAATATGGTGAAGAAGGCACATCAGCTCTCTCAACCAACGGGTCGGGTAACCCTGAGGACGCCATGGTAGGTCAACGGGTGCATTAATGTTGAGAGTCCAGATGCGAATGGTTGTCGGAGGAGGCGGCGAAGCCTCAGCGACTGGGGCCAGAGCAAGGAGTTGGGGAGGTTGCATAGAGGCCACGTGGCGGCAAAGCAGGAGCAACGCGAGACTGCCGAGAAGCGAGGGGAGCCGAGCCCGGGCAGCGACAATCTTAAGAACTCCATCAACCAGTTTACCCTCTAATCCCGGAAGAACACTAGTAATAAGTGCCCGAGCCCCTTGCGGGCAGGGAGACATATGGCGGACTTCGGCAGAGGGCTCAACGTTATGGACAGCCCCATCCGGCTCCACAGCGCAGAAGAAGAATGAGCAATGGGAAGTGTAGTGCTGGACCACCGGTCGGAGAAGCTCGCAACCGATTGAGTCACGCAGTATCCACCAGCCATATGGTGAAGGCGGGGAAACGATGAGATCAAGCACTTGGGGGCTGGAATCGAAAGCGACGTGCAGTCCGTACTCGCAGTCTGGCAAGAAGGCGCCAAGGTAAGCACTAAGATGCTGATCGAGGTGGCGTGCACCAACCCTCAAGTGGACGGGGCCTTGCCCGGGAAGCCAAAGGTGCATCTGCACTTCTGGGTGAGGTGAGGCGCCAGTAACATACGCGCCAAGTTGAGGTGCTGAAAGGGCGAACCCGTGCGTCTGCCGGGCAAGCTCGTGAGTCCAAGACATGGTGCAGGGCCGTGAAAAGTCGCGACGAGTTTGCAGTGTCTCGGATTCCGCGAGACGAGAGAACAAGGGAGCAGGCTCAACCATCACGCGGACTGACACCACAGGGAGAAGGAGGCTGAGAGCGCACATAAGCGAGTACCGCCGCAAGCAAGGCAAGCCAAGAGCAGCAGAGGCCAAAGGGCCCGGGGGCGGTGGCGGGCTAGGCGTCTCGGCCTCGCAATTACGCACTAGTTGGGAGACTCCTTCAGGAGAGTCGTACCCAACACTGACACACTGCATCGCAACACCTGTGATGTCACGAGGAAATGGCCAAACACGGCTGTCGCTGGACAGAAACGTTTGTGGTAGCTCCCAGAGGGACAGGGAAAGGGCCTGTGCAACAGCTTCCCAGGAGGGGACAGGGGTGCACATACCGTAGAGTCGGCTCCCCTCTCGAAGGGCCCACACGGTGAATCCGGGCAGACATGCAACCAGGCACTTGACGTGCCATGCATCGCACCAGAGGTCAACGAGTTCGGACGCAGAGTCAGGTGTGACACCGGCACCGCAAACAGACGGGGGTGCCTGGAGTACAGCAGCCGGCGTGCTGGCAGAAATGAAGGGGGCGTTAGTTTGGGAACCTATACTATGGAAAACCCGAGCCCTAGGGGGAGGGAGGGGCGGAGGCATGCGAACAAGTCTCGGCTCCCAGCTGAGGCTCAAAAGGTGCTCCCGGGCCCGTGCAAAGTCAGCCTGCACATGGACATACCAGTAGCGACAGTCAGCTCGACCAGGGAAGGAAGTGCATTCCCAGGTTAGAACAGAGAGGCCGACTGCTTGGCTCGCAACTTGCGAAAGATACTGCCTACGATCATTTTGGATGGCCTTTTTTAGACAAGGTTGGAGTTTCCGAAGATCTCCGATGCCTTGTGCTGCAGTAAAGGTGCTCCTGCAAATCCCGGCAAATTGAGCAAGGAGAACCCTGTCAAAACGGTAACCATTTCTCCAACTGGCAAATGCACAGCCAAGCTCAGCAACTCTGAGTCGGGTGAGTGCTTTTGTGAGCTGCCTGCGACACTCAACCCTTTGTTGGCGCAAGTCCCATGTCGTGTCACTGAAAAAAGTGCGACGGCACTTAGTTCGCGGGGCAGGGAAGGATTGCGCGAGGGCTGTCGTGAGATGCTCCGCAATGATATCATAATGCGTGTGAGCATCGGTTTGCCAATGCACATGCGGCAACGAGCAGCAAATGCGATTCAGCTCCTCTTGGGCCCCTGGCTGGTGAAGCTTTGCTACATCAATGCGGGGCTTAGAAAAGCTTGATCGGGAAAATGCCGACAAGCGGACTGAAGCTTCAACCTGAACACCGTAGTGATCAATCCCAGCTTGGCCAAAGTCAATGTCATTTAGCACCCTGGATGCTCCAGCAGCAACGCACCAGGCTGTGGGCAAAAAGACGAAATCGATCCTTGAGGCGGTTCCCCCCCCGGGAGAAATCCAAGTGCAAGATTGTCCAGGGTGGAGGTCAGGGAAGGTAGACGGTGACCACAGGTCATGTGCTTCGAGGATGTGCAGCAGGGAGTCGGGTGGTCCCGGACCCTTTTCAAACACTAAGTCTCCGACCCTGCCTGCCTTTGGTTCAATCAGGCGGGCATTCATGTCACCAAACAACAAAACGTTGTCACCTCTAGCACTGGTGCATAAGCGGTTCTGAAGGTGTTTCCACCAGTTCACTCTACCTGGGTCCTGTGCAGTTGGTGCATGGACAACCGCTGCAACAAAACGGAGGTTTTGCCTGACAAAGCGGACAAACAAGGCTCTCGGCTCGGCAAGAAGAACCCTGAAGTCTTCAGGAGCGAAATACCAAGCAGTATTGCCCTGCCATGCAAATGGAACGTCCCTTGCGAACCATAACTCTACACCAAGGTTCCCCTGAGGATCCTGTTGGGATAGGTACCGGATGTGCGTGCTAGACAGGACTGTGGAGGACTGCTTGGCCCTGGTCTCTTGAAGGCCAATTATGTTGGCCCCGACAAACTGAAGCTGCTCCCTTACATACGGCACCCTGCCTTGGATCCCAGATGCCTGGTCCTCAGCAAGTGTTTGGACGTTGATCGTGACGATGGAAGGATGGAAGTGCACTTCACTTGCTTGTTCTGGCTGCTGGGAGATAGGAGCTGGGTGCTCCTTCAGAATGCTGCGCTTCAGTCTATTGGGATCTGGCACAGACAGGGACCCAAGATCCCTGAAGGCCCCACTGTCGGAGGTTGGCCAGGCTGTTGGGTGCAGAGCAGCTTCAACATGAAGCCACAGCCATGCTATATCTCCGGTCTCTACCCATGTGCAGAGATTTGCAAGCGGTGCTGGTATAGGGCTGTCCCCTGCGGCTCCAAACTTCGCCAAAACATCGGCGAGCTCATTGTACGGATGTCCCTCATGAGAACGGACATGCCAGACAGCATTGCGCTGAAGTTGCCCTAGTGACTCGGCCGCAACAACAAGAGAACGGCAGGCTCCGGCAAGGCCATCATCATCTGCTGTTTGATAACTGCCGACAGCCTGCCCAGCAGCAACAGTAGAATCGCTGCGAATCACACTGAAAACATGCAAGGGCTTGCGGAGCAGCCAAGTGACAGCCCAAAAAAGAGCTGACTTCTCGCCGTTGATAGCTGAGTGCTCTCTCGCCCCAATGTGCAGTGGCGAGCCAGGCATTTGCACAGATCCACGAGCAAACCCATGCAACTGGATGCCTTTCTGCCACACGGCAATGACTGCGAAGGCCCAACTGCTTGTGGACCCATCATACGAGCCGTCAGTGTAGATCTCGAACCGGGTCGGATCTTCAACGGGCGGCTGCCCTTGCAAATGAGTCTCTAAGGCTTTCGCGGTGGAGGGGTGGACTTTCAAGCCTTCTGGCAGCTCTCTCTGGAGATTCCAGGGGCAATGGACGACGTCAACAACCTCATGCAGGCTTCGTTGAGCTGTAAGGCTTACCTGAGTAATGTCGATCTCAGGACAAGGAGGCAAGTGGTTGAGCAATCTCAACGGTCTGCAGACCCGCTGGGCCTCGCCGGCTGGATCTGTCTTCGCTAGCTCCCGCGAGTGGTCAAGCAAAGCTTCAAGCAAAGTGCAAGCTTCCCAGAACTGCCAACCTTGAGCGGCTTGGACACTGTGTTCAAGAAGGGTGGGCCCAGGAATGTCAAGGAGGATCTGCTGCTGCACAGTGCGGGTTGGCCTGCAGGGAGTCGGAATGGGTCGAGTCCTCGTGGCACACATACTGGCAGGTGCTGTGTGAACAGAATCAACCCCACAATGGTCTGGATTGGCAATCCAAGCACCTGCAAGCTCGGAGGAGCCGCAATTGAGGGGAGGAAGGGAATTAACGCCGGAGACTGGAGCTCCAAGCATATCATGCTCAAGTGTCATTGACCTTCCGGCTGAACAGAGTCCGAAGAGCACAAGAACCCTTAACCAAGAACCCGGTACCTGAGCTTGGGTCTTCAGGCATAGACGATGGTCGTACCTTGCGCTACGAGGTCCTAATGGCTCACCCTGCTCTGCCCTTGTAATTCCTCCTTCACCAGAGCCTGACAACGTCTGTCCATCAGCCCCAGTGGGTCCCTCAGGAGCTGGCTCTTGACTTTGCTCATGATGGATGGGGCCGCGGGTGTCATTGGAACTCTGGTCGACTCGATCGGGCCACGCTGTGGGCAAAAAGGTGACAAGCAAGGCCTGGCCAGGCCAAACATGCACAAAGTCGCCATCTTGCTGATGCGATATCGGGCTCCCTGTCACAACAACCTTGTGGCCTAGAGGTGCGAGGCCGTTGAAGGGTGCAACAAGGTCAGACAGCTTCGCTCGGCCTCGGCGAGCAGAGGCCCATCGGAGGCCACACAAGATGGGCCTACAATCGAGAAAGAAAACCGATTCATCATCTTCCTCTTGGAAGTCAAGTGGCCTATCCTGCAGTAGGACAGCGTTTACTGTGCGGCACCAAGCCCCTTCGCAGCAAATGTCAAGAATGGCTGGGACGGCAGGTTGACTCTGCAATTGATCAGAGACAAGGCCGATGCGATCAGCAACAGC